AACTAATGATATATAATGAGTGGATCCTTTAAAGCAGCAGACCGCTGTCTTTGTCCAGCATGAATCTGCTGTTAGTGGCACAGATTAGATTTCCAGTATTGCATTTTAAATTAGCATCAAGCAGAAACGTCAGCACGTCACAGATCTGATTTAGCATTAACAGAATGCGTTTTTGTTCGCGGCAAAGAAGAAGCTCGTGTGCTTTTTTCATTAGAGATGCACAGGATTTTTTTTTCTCTTTTCCAGATGTTAAATCACTTCCACGCAAAGACCACAAATGTGTTTTGTATATTTTGGCAGCGGTGATTTAGTGAGCGTGACAGATGGAGTAGACAGCAAGTGCAAGGCCTTTTTCTGCTCTACCCCAAACAAAGGAGGAGAACAGAGCTCAAAGGACATCGAGTACAAATACCGACCCCCCGTGGGCTCAAAAGACGGCTGCTGGAAACGACAGGAATTTCATCCTGTACATTACAACATGAGACAACTTTTCATCGACACAAAGTTTTCTCCAGCCGCCTTTTAACCCCACTCAAAGGTTTCAGTGTTTGATATTCCAAACAGACTTTTGGTGGCATTTCCCTGTAAGGTGACAGTAGGAGGAGGTCATTTCTCCTGCAGCAGAGCGGGGATGTTTATGTTCCAGCCGATGGCTTGCCGATCAAAGCCACAGGTGAACAGGTTGCAGGTGGTGTTGTCTTCACACCAAGCGGAGCAGCACACCATGCGCCGGTGACCCTAAATCATAAAACAGAAGACACGGCAGCTGTGAGGGTGACATTTTTACTTTGACGTGGATCCTGAGCATCCTTGTTCTTAAGCAGTAAACAGAAAATTTCAAGAGGCTGCACTGGAACGTTTTCATTTTTATTTCTGTGGCTTAAATTCTTAGTGGAGGTTTAGTCTTTGTTTTTTGTTTAAATGGTAAATCTCGCACTCACCTGTCTGTTGCTTCGTGGGAGTCGAGCCAGTCGCACCCCGGACATGTCAAACAGCCGGACCTGCCGATTGTCGTGAGGAAGAGCGATGATTTTCTGGTTCACCGACACGCTGATCCTGAAAGGAGTAAACAGGGAACACAGGGTCAGGCTTTATCTGCAGTATATGGTCTAATCAGAGCCAAATCACATTCATATTTGAAAGAGCAGGGACGCGTATGTTTGTGACATTTAAAACTGAGCCTTTTAAGCTCAATTCTGCTCCCTTATAAATACATTTGTAGATTTTTAGTAGACCTGCGTAGTCATTTTAATGGATTCCTTCCTATAATCGTTACTTTTTAATGACATAAATATAAACAGGTTTACACACCTGTTGACTGCAGAGTCTGTGCGGATGGTTGCTATGGGCGACCTCATGTTCTTCAGGTCCCACACTTTGACGGTTCGATCGTCGCTCCCAGACACCACGTTATCTCCCACTGTGAACACTGCTGACGTCACCGTGCTGCCACAGGACGAGAAAACAAGTCCAGTTTAGACTTCAGAAAACTTTCATTTCATCAGCTTCTTGTTCTGTTTCCTTTTAAAGGCGCTGTAACCGTTTCCTGCAGACGCAATTAGAGGCAAATTCTAGAAGGCAGGAACTGAGAAAGTAATATTTTATAGTGGATTTCTTTCAGATATCTATCATCAGTAAAGATAGTGGGTGAAGGGGCAGTGGTGGTATAAAGCCCTGTGCAAATATTAAATGATTTACTAGTCGTGCTTCACTCTGAAGTTGATAGATGGTCACTGTAAAGAACAAACTCTGATTACATAGATCTATCTTCCACCTAATCTTATATCCATCTGTGCTTTCCTTCACTCCCTTGGTAGTAGCTCCAATAAGCTGCTTTAAAGTTGAGAAGCAAACAGTAATTCCAGCCCCGCCCACTT